AACTCAGTTACCAAGACATTCTGTGAGTAGACACATTCCACTGGAAATAACATTGCTGCTATGGAGGAAAAAAAAAAGACATAAAAACAAACCCAAAGAAACTTTTTCTTTCATGTCCAGAGTTTACTGCTAGCTAAAAATTAAGATACTTAAGTATTAGTCATAAAGGAAGGGGTATAATTCAAAGGGATAATGCACATTCCTGTCCTAAGAAATTCAGCTTTCAAGACTTAGACAGCTGGATAGTGCTTTTTGCGATTGCTTACAAACTTACTGCCCTACACAAGGCAAAACTCCAATAATTACAGCTCGTGGCTGGAAAGAGAAATATTACTTTAAACATCTGGCAACAAGAGTTATGCAAAATATTCTTCTTCTGGATATAGGAGCAGAAAGTGGATAATATGTGAAATTCTGTTATGTAATCTGTGAACTTCATTGACCGCGCTCAGGTTCCAGCACCGAGCCTCCCGCTGCAGCAAGTACCACGCAAATGTGAACACAGAACTCTTTCAGAAGGCGTCTGGTGGCCTCTAGTGACAACCAGGCAGATACACACCAGGCCCCGGCCCCGGGGCAGGCGCTGCGGTGGGGCTCCTCCTGTTAATACCTGTGCCCCCTGCGAGGCTCCTAAGACAGTGTCTAACTGGCAATCTGTTCAAGTATTTCTGTAATGGACATTCCCAAAAGCGTACAACCTTCTCAAGGGCAGTACTGAGATGGATTTTCAGCCTGTTTTCATTCTTGTTCTGTTGTTGGTTGGATACCTGAGCACCTGGCAGATCCTGAAGCTGGGACAGTATTTCTGCCCAGGCAACTCCTGACAATTTTACCCTGCAAATACACCCTTGAAAACTAAATGAGTGCTTCTCCCTCATTTAGAACCACTCTCTCATTAGAACCACACTCGTGGGTTCCGAGTGTGACCCACGTCAGGTCCCTGAACACACAAGGTTTGGGTTTTCTAAAAGCTAGTGAAAAAAAATGGACACAAAGGTGAAGACAGGCAGGACAGTGTGTGTGTGTGTGACCGCATCTCCTCTGCTGTGCTGTCAGTGTGTGCATATATTTGCACACGGCCATGAAAATCCTATTTGCTTACTGAATCAGATAAATAGGTAATATTTTCTCATGCATACGGAACTATTCCAGCATTCCGGAACTGAGAAAAGCAGGAAGTCGGAACCTTTTGCAGCTTGCTGGCTTTCTCATTCCACAGAGTCCTCAGTAGCACGTAAGTTTTACAAGGGGAAAAGACCTGCCTGGCAGTCTGTTAGACTGTATTAGAGCTGATATTAATGATCCTTTTAGGGGAGAAAAAAGAGAAGGTTCATTTGTATGGCCTGGAGCTGTTGTTGTTGGCACTGAAATGTGATCCTGCTGGAGGAGAGCAGCCGGGACAGGAAAGGCAGCTCCTCACTTTATTTTCAGCCTGTGGCTGAGGAAGGATGTAACCAACCCACATCTTATGCACCACTCCAGGATCTGGAACACTTCAAGTATCACACTATTTGATTTTAAGTTTGTTTTCAGGGTAAAGGATTGTCCTAAGTACTTTTTTGCACTCATTTTGAAAAATAGTAATTTTAAATCCGCTATTGGCTCATATCTACATGAAAAATTCACTCAGATTTTCCCCTGAAAGCTCATTTTACAACTGCTCCCTTGACTGTAAACCAGTTGTCTGGCATAAATCTGGAAGTAACTTCTCACAAGTAAGTTAACTAGAGGGGAATTTCTCAGACACAGAAATAACGAATACTGAAATATGGCTGAATATTGAACAATGAATTTAACAACTTCCTTCACTGAACACTGTACAGTGGAAGTCTTTTCAGGACTGTATTGTCAGAGATCTTTCAGATTCAAATTCTTATGAAACAAAATCCAAACTGAGATTAGCAACACAGTTACAGCGACGTATAATCGGCCAATGGGTTTCCCTCCTGGGATGGATCATCACTGAAGACTGAACTAGAAGACTTTTCTTTATTTAAATCCTCAGTCAGCCAAAATAAAAGCAATGTTCCACCTAAAGGCAGCACAAATGCATGACCAAAGCCGGGTGTGTCTTTTTCCCTTGAGCTCTCAAGTCTGGTTACCCATGACTGGTTAGCGAAGGTGAGTAATACTAAGTGGCATGCACATGTTATCATAACCCTGCAAGACTTATTTTTTCTGCTCTCCAAGACACATTAAACTTATGTCTCACAGGTGATATTTCTTCATGAAATCAAACAATTGATTACTGTTGCCATGAATGTTTTATTATCAGTACACACAAGCCATTTGCCAAGCACATCACTGACAGGAAGTGTTACACATGATCAGGGACTGTCCTCTGCAGAGCATTCACAACCCAGTTGTGAGTTGGAAACTGCACTGCTGAACTAAAGCACCAGCACTTCTTCAGCATTGATCAAACCTGCAGACGCCAGCCATTTTTAGCCTGCTCAACATCTATTTCAATTACTTACTGTTACAACCAGTATCATTTGAAAAAAACAACAGGAAGACAGCCCATATTCTTACAGATAATACCTGGGCATAGTCCAGCCTCCAGTGGAGGTGGTGGCTGCTCCCAAGGATGGAGCCATGAGGAGCCACTTGCCCTCCGCCCGTCTGAGCCTTCCCTTGCTCCCAGTTACTGGCGCAGGTACAGCCCCTGGTTTGCACTCCTACAATCACCAGTGATTTGTACAACCCATCACGATATTCCACGAAAAAAACTAGTGAAACAAAAAAACAAACCAGGAGCAAAGCCCACGTCTGGTGTGAGTGATGCCTATCCTGGTCTTAGTAATATTCTTGCAAACATTACAGCTTATTTTTTAGAACAGACATATACACAAACTGCTAAGTCCAGACAAATTGTCATTAAACAACTTGGAGAAGAACACTAAGAAACTTCAGATCAACTTGGGTGTCTGAACAACACGATTGCTCCGTGTTTCCAGTTGCATTCACCTGGAACACTTTTGCTTAATAGTCAAGAGAACTCTGGAAGGAAAAAAATTGTTGAACGTTCAGCTTGACCTAAAGTAGCAGATGCAGAACACAAGGCAAGCATCTGCCCTAATCCTGACTCCACTTCAATTCAGATCACTGTATTGGTGAAGTTAGAGGAAAGTTTAGCAATGTTTAAGTATCAGTGAATTCTATTTCTCTATCAATCTAAAATGTATTTTTATGCTATTCTTACTTTTCTAAATAGTATCCAGCTTCTGTATATTTCAAGCACCTGCATTAATGTACCAATACACACAGATGGCTTTTGCTATTCAAACTACACAGCTGCTTCTCCATACAGAGCTAGGATAGTTGTGAATACACAGATGAGGAATTTGACCCACAAAAGCCAATCTCAACCTGTTTGCATTTCTAGGCAAAACATGAAAGCTGATAACCTTTGCCATTTGCTCAATAAAACTAAAAATGGGACTTTCAAGTGGTGTTTAGGAAAAATACCAAGGTAACATGGAATGTAATTTTACTAAATATTAAAAAGACAAAGAAGAATGTTTATCATAAAACATTGCCAGAAATATAAGCAGTGAAATACAGAGCCAAGAAATGTAACTATAGCAGGATCTCTTGCTGTATTTCTCTTGAAGTTTCAGAGATGTAAACTCTTCCCTGCTAACATGGTCAATTCTTACTCAGCCTGAGTATTTTTAACAAACTAGAGATGGAGTTTCTATAGTGACAGGCCAAATGATATGACTAGTGTACTTTGGTTTCAACTGTCATAAATGTTTTTCACTATCAATTACACCCAAAGAAGTTCAAGGTCCACAGACAATCCACAACATCCTCCTGCAGTAAAGTCCTGCCCTGAACACTGATCACTTTGGCCTGGCACATGCATGTTCTCAGAAGAACCAGGTAGAACAGGCTTCACTCTTTGCCTGAATATCCCAAGCTAGGCGTTCTCAGAAACCTAAGGATGCTTCCCATATAGTTTAATGCCTCCAAAGCTTAGTGTCTCACCAATTTCCTTGCCTCAAGGTTGAAGACCAGTGCGTACAGCAGCTGCGTCCACCAATATAAGCAATATGTGATCACTGTTCTACCTGACATTAATAATACACTAAAGTACTGGCAGTGCAATGGAAACTTGTTCTGCTCTAACTTCAGCTGCCCAGGAGGGCTGGAAGGTTGTTATGCTGGAAGCTTGATGTCAGTGCCTCCCGTCGCTCTGTGGACATCAGTGGCACATATGTGAACTAAAGTGTGCAGTGAAGATTTCCAATACTCCTGTTCCTATTACTTTATTTATAGGCAAAGCAATAATCTTGCTGCTTAATTTCAACTGTACTGAAAGCCAGTGTCCATCTGGTAACGGTTTTCTGATACCAAATGAATGCATATTCAATGCAAACTAACTACAGCATTAACCTTCCAATTAAAGTTTGAATAGTGGTTTGTGCCTACTAGAAAATGAATTAAGGGGTAGGTACAGATGCCTCCATTCTAATAATTCATACACTGCCCTAGACTGTCCTGAGGCCCAAACTGTTTCTTACTCAACAGATATATATTCTTAATTGCACATATAAATATTTTAAGTCTCTTGTCCCATATAGTCAACTCTCATTTTAATTTCATACACTGCACATGGGTGTAAGAATCTGCTTGTTTGTTCAAAATGACTATAGAGGGTATGGCTGCAGGTACACTGTTATAAATGATTCAACAGTTTATTTGTGCTTTATCTTTTATTCCAAATGATAACAAAGCAAGCCAAACTACCTGGGGAGTTCGCAAACTCAGAGGAACAGCTGAAAACGCCGGTACTTCATACGGAGAGTGGGGGCAATACACTGTGTGCTGTTTGTGCTGACACTGGTTGCATTGTGTGTCAACAGAGGTGGGGTTTATAGCTATTGTGCTTCCTCTTTGAAACACAGTATAAAGGTTTACAGAGCACACACTGCTCTTCACTGCAGCTGCTCTCTGTGTGGATTGAGCTGTTCCAGTTTAGAAGACGAAGAACCCCAATGGCGTTTTCTACCCGAAGCTCCCAGTGGGGTACAAGCACCCGCTTCCACCCCACAGCACCCAGTGTCAGCGGGTTGAATTCCCGGCAAACAGCCATTCAAAGGCTTCAGGCACCTAGCGTCTACGGGGGGGCTGGCGGCTACGACACCCGCATATCCACCAGCACCAGCTACGGGCAACGCTTTGGGGGTAACTTCCAGCTGAGTATTAGTGACAATGATGTGCTGCTCACTGGCAATGAGAAATCAACAATGCAAAACCTAAATGACCGTTTGGCTTTGTATCTGGAGAAGGTACGTTCACTAGAAAGGGCAAACTCCCAGATTGAAAAGCAGATCAAAGAGTGGTATGAGAAGAACACCACAGACATAAGGCATGACTATAGCTCATACTTCAAAACCATTGAAGAGCTCCAGAATAAGGTAAGATATCATACAGTCATCTCTAAATACATGAATTGCAATTATTAGGGAGATAAATAATCTATTATGGAGAATGTACTTTCCCAAATTGCAACTCCCTCAAATACAAAAAACAAATGCTTTACTTTGATCAGATACAACTTAGTGACAGATTTTACATAATCTGTAATATCATATACAAGCCTGCAGATGTGAACAATCTCATACAGGAAAAATCTTTGAATTGAAATGAATTAATTCTATTTGCCTTATGAGATTTACATATTTAAATACAGTTTAGCATCTGTCAATTCCAAAGTGGGTTTTTTTAGAAAAGAATGCCAAATGCTCAGAAAAAAGGAGGGATCACTACTTGCAATGGTGAATTCCTGCTATAAACAATAAAATATCCCTACAGAAATCAGCTGACAGATTTGTCAAACTATGTTTCCAACGAACTTCCTTAAATCTTCCCCTTATACCTTTCACCAGTTACATTTCCCATCCTTTAAAGGCAGATCCCTTCCAAAGAGCACTTCATCCCAACCATTTTATATACCTATTTTATGACAGGATAATTTGTCTTTTAGAAAGCACTAATTCCTTTTATGTACTTCAGAGACAACTCAGCTTAAACCTAGAAGATTAACAGACAGCTAAAGTTAAGTGAGATGAAGTCCGCATGCAGTATTTATTTCAGAAATGGATCAAGTGTGCATTTATGTGCAAAGATTCATCACTTTCAACCATTCCTTTTCAGATTGGTGCTGCACAGTTGCAAAACGCGAGGCTTGTTCTGGAGATTGACAATGCCAAACTGGCTGCTGATGATTTTAGACTGAAGTAAGTTCCATGGTTATTTAATAAATCCTTTCATGTTTCTTCTTATTCATGAAAAAGAATAAATTTACAGTGAAGGGTGCAGTAGTTAGTGATTCATTTACACCAACAGTTGCATTTTCATGCTGACAAAACAAGCCTTATTTTACAGGTATGAGAATGAACTCCTGCTCAGGCAGAGCGTCGAGAGTGACATTAATGGACTGCTCCGAGTTCGTGATGACTTGACTTTAACAACATCTGACTTGGAGTCCCAAATTGAAAGGGTGAATGAAGAACTGATTTTCCTTAAGAAGAACCACGAGGAGGTGAGAGCAGCCAAACACTGTCAGGGACGCATTCGGTTTAAGTGCACAAACAAGCTCAGCATCACTAGGAATAGGAAATCTTCCCAGTTAATCTGAAAGAATATTACACTTATGGTGGGATTCAGCTCCAGATTAGCACATCAAAATGTAGGCACCTATTCAAATAGTATCTCTGTGAATGGGCCTATGGCTCTATTATAATCAGCTTCCAGCATTCAGGAGGGAAAGTTCCCTGTGGCTGATGCTGACAGAACCCTCCCTGCTGCAGGACGTCGAGAGACTGCGCAAACATGTGGGGGGCTCAGTTAACGTAGAGGTGGACGCTGCTCCAGGCGTGGATCTTGCAACTATGATGGAAAATATGAGAAAGCAATATGAAGAAATGGCAGAAAAGAACCGTCAAGAAGCCAAAGAACAGTTTGAAAAGCAGGTAAGGTCGATGACTTAAACATCAGTGAGAGCCCCAGCCATGTCTAGGTGTGGTTTGCAGTCCCTCTGGTTTTGCATTTCAGACAGAAGAACTGAACCAGGAAGTAGCAATCAGCGTTGAACAGCTGCAAGCCCAGAGGAAAGAGGTCACGAACCGGAGACAGATCTTCCAGGGGCTGGAGCTGGAATTACAGTCCGAGCTTAACATGGTAAATGATAGAGTGTGTTTAGTAGACAGTTACACGGGTAAATATAGAAACTGAGAGGCTTTTCAATCCAAATATTATTTTAACACAAAAATGTATCCTCCTGAATTCATCTCTGTTCTCCTCTTTGGCTGTAGAAAAAGGCTTTAGAGGACACTCTGGCTGAAACTGAAGCCCATTACAGTTATCAGCTAGTCCAAATACAGGAAACAGTTGCCAATTTAGAGGGCCAACTGAGGCAGCTCCGAGCTGACATGGAGGGGCAGAATACCAAGTACAGCATACTGCTGGACATCAAGACGCACTTGGAAATGGAGATTGCCACGTACCGCCAGCTGCTGGAAGGGGAGGACATCAGGTGAGGAAACACTTGCACTGCACTTACTGCTTTAGTTTCATGTGACAGCAAAGAACACTGCGAACACTGTCTGTAGTCCTGGACTGTGGAAGTGTGAAACCTGCCAGGATGCTGCCTATTCAGCTGTTCTGGCCATATCTGCATGAGCTGAAGTCACAGCACTGCAGAAAGGAGCCTGTATATTAATTTCACCTATAACTTATACTTAGCAAGTTTTACTTTAACAGAGAAAACTCTTTTAAACACCCAGTTAAATGTCTTGATGAATGGACATTACCTGTCCTGATCAAACACATAGGATAGGTACAAGGTTTCTGCAATATGTTAGGTGCCATCTATTTATATTATTTAATTTATTATTTGAACAGACATTTCCAAGTGGATGTATCTACAGCAGAGGTTGAAAAAGGTATGTCACACCAACTTCCTTATCTTTTGACAGCTGCCTATTGAAATGTTATGGAAGTAAGTAGCCTGATATGAAACAACACAGTTTCAGAGCAAATAATCAACCGTTGGAAAGCAATCAAGAAAGCAATCAACTGTATGAACAGATAAACAGATAAACACAGGGATTATAGAAATCCAGGTTAACAGCAAACATATCCATTCCAGAGTAAGGCAATTCCTAGGTTTTAGGTCTAGAACTCTGTGCTAAACAGAAGAAAAACTATCAGGAGGGATACAGATTCAGCACAGCATCCACTATATTATTTTGGGTAACACAGAGGATGCTCAAAGGAAGAGCATTCATGTTGTGTGTACCCCAAAAGCTGACTTCACAGTAGCTGTGCACTGAAAAGGTGCCTTTATCTTTATTTTCCCATTGCTGGGGTTACTGCAGTGATGTTATTCTGTCAATGGAGATTGCACTGAATTAATCGTCTGTTCGATTTCATTACCAGAATCAAGTAAAATTAAGAAGATCAAGACAATTGTTGAAGAGGTGGTTGATGGCAAGGTTGTCTCCTCTCAGGTCAAGGAGATTGAAGAGAAAATGTAAATGGCACCAGCAGAGAGGAGATGGCGTTGGAGCTTCTCGGACCTGATGCCAAAACTAAAAGATTTATAAATAAATCTTTTATTGGATTCTTTATAAAGAATCCAATGTAATTCTCCCTAAAAAACAGGAGGGTTGAAAAAAAGCTATCAAATCTCAATCTTTCGCATGTGTGTGTGGGAGTGTTAATAAAAATCAGTAAGTTACAAAGTACAAGATTTTGGGTTTACTTACATAGTGACTGAATACCTTCATAAAAACAAACAAATCAGCATGTTCTCAATGTGTAACTGTTTCTAAGAAAAACTGAAGTATTAGTTTTTTAGTTACATTTAAAAATCTGCTCAGTAAAAACTAGAAACTCAAATGCCTTCTATCAGGGATTTATCAGAGCTTTTCAAATCATTTAAATGGACTTCAGAAAAATACCAACACAACACTTACTGTTGGAGTTTCAAAGCACTGAAGCTGGTGAAAGGCACGATGAAGACACGGGACAGAATCTGCTGCTGTGCTCAGCAAGCTGGGGAAAGTCACAGGCTCGGCTCAAAGCACTAGAAGAACCTTTCCCTTGTGTTTTCAGACAGTACATTTCAGCAGCCAGTGCCTTGAGTTTTCTCACACTTTCAACATACTAATAAATGAAAAGCCTTTAGAAGAGAGCTGCTATTTCTGAGATCTTGATGGACACCCCCTCAAAACTTCAACACAAAACTAAAGGAATTTACCAGATAGAGATGATACACTCTCTGTTAGTTAATTGCAACCCAAAGTTTAGCAATCTGTGTTTTTCTTATGTACCAGCACATTTAGATTTGTTCTTAAAAATACATTCAAATGTTGATTCAGTGCACCTTTTCTGTACCTGAACTACCATTCAAATGTAATGCAGCTTCAACTTCAGTAAAAACTGATTTTTAAATAACCACGAAGTGTCAATTTGCATTTCTTAATTAATTAAAATGAATAAACAAATTGAAGCAGCCTATTTATTGTTTTTCACTCTCTGTGAATGTTCATATCTCCAGGGGCTAGAGCAAGCACAGGTATTTTACCAGTAAGACTGTATTTTGCCTTCCAGCAGTGAAAGGACCTCGGTTCACCACCTTGGTTCAACCTTCCCACACCTGCACATCCCCTGACCTGTGCAGGCAAGTCCCTGATGCCTCACCCAGCTCCTCACTCCAAGGACTCCACATTTTCCTCTTGACAACATAAACACAAAACCCTCCTCCCTTTGAAATCTCACCTGCCCAGTGTGTTATTTACTGTACAGAAACACCTGCCAAAGGAAATAATGCTTTGCTTTCACTCTCATGAGTCCAGGCTATCAATTCACTTCTACATAAATGCTTTACTTAAACCTTTGATCTACTGCTCATAATAAATTTCTGCCCAAAAAAGCACCCACACTCCAGATGAGGATGAATTGGAAATGAAAACACTTCAGTTGACAAATGCAATGATACAATTAAGCCACGACAATGAAAAAGCAATTTTCTGTTTACCAAAATAACGTCAAATGAAAGGTATATTGGTTCTGAAGGGTTTCCATGCCTAAACCTGCAACCAGAAGAGCTGTATTTGAGCTTTAGATTTATATTATAAAAAGCACAAAATATAGAAATAATTTGCCTAAGATCACAGCAAGCTATTCAGAAGGAACAATGGGAAGTTCCCAGCTCAGAAGTGTGAACTGTTGTTACAGGCTCTGCATATTGCACAGAGACATTGCCATGATGAAAGGTTTAGCGCAGAAAACACAAATTAACTTGGGTATAATCAGGTCTATTTTTGTTTTCATATTAACAATCAACCTGCAGACCACTAGCTGCCCACATGCCTTATCACACAATTCTGCTGATCACTTTTCTTCTTTCTTATCAGAGATTCAGGGAGCACCAATGCGGTTCATGCCAGAAGCATATTATGACTAGAAACACATTTCTGATATGCGCACTGGCAAGGATGATATGAAAGGGATCACTCCACTGGCTTAAGTTTACACCTGGAATAATAGCCCCAAACCAAGAAAGAAATGGGTATGTAATGCCAAAAACATTACTTAGGAAGGCTTTAAATGAGAAAAGAAAACTTTACCCTCCATTGCACATGGCAAAACATGATCATGATGTCTGTGCTCTCCTCCACCCATTTCCCCTCGCACAGCAAACACCTGGAGGGCACCAGACTTCCACTCCCATTGGCAATTTAGACTATCACGTATCATTTAGTTTGGTCAGGACACATTAAACTGACTTCCCCTCCAAGTGAGGGGGAGAGAGAGAAAGAATTCAAGCTCTTCCTAGGAGGTGGGGACTACTCCTGAAACACCCATTGCCTTCCTATATAAAGGTTCAAGTGTTCTCCAGTGTGCCTTGCTCCACGCTGTGTGCTTCACCCAGCAGAGCAGAGCCCCTCGAGCACCATGGCCCTTTCTGTGCGCACAAGCAGCGCACCCCGGCAATTCTCTTCTCGGAGCGGATTTGGCGGGGGATCTCTGCGAATGTCTGGTTCTAGTGGTGGAGGAGGTTTTGGTGGCAGCGGTCTTGGGTTTGGTGGTGGAGCTGGTGGAGGCTTTGGTGCTGCTTCTATGCTTGGCTCAGGCTCTGGCTTCAGTGGGGGTTTTGCAAGTAGCTCAGGTGGAGGCTTTGGGAGCAGCTTAAGCAGTGGCTTGGGTGGAGGTTTTGGTAGTGGTTTAGGTGGTAGCTATGGCAGTGGCTTAGGCAGTGCTTTTGGTGGGGGGTCAGGAAGTGGCTTTGGTAGTGGCTTAGGAACTGGGTTTGGAGGTGGGTTTGGTGGTGCTGGGGATGGTGGCCTTCTTTCTGGCTCAAAAAAAGAAACTATGCAGAACCTCAATGACCGCCTGGCTGCATATCTGGACAAAGTACGATCTCTGGAAGATGCCAATACTGAGTTGGAGCGCAAAATCCGCGAGTGGTATGAGAAAAGTGGCCCTGGTACTGGTATCCCTGGTTCTGGGAATGACTACAGTAAATATTATCCTATCATTGAAGATCTCCGAAACAAGGTAGCAAAGCCATGTACTTAATGTACCTTTACATTTGTAATTCAACTAATAATATTTTGTCTAAATGTAACAAATTCCTTTCAGAAACCAAGAGGAAATTCATTCTACGGTACCAACACTTGCAATAATCTCTGTCACATTGCACTGGTATTGTGCAGAAGGAGAAGGCAGTGATGGAATCCAGGTCTACAAACACTTGTAGATCCCGAAGTCTAAATGTGTGTTTAGGATGGCAATTGTGTAAACAGATATCCTAAGCTGCAAAGCCATAGACCTAGAAAAGCATTCCCTTACCACTGTTTGTATTCCAGATCATTAATGCAACTATTGACAATGCAAGAATCATTCTTCAGGTCGATAATGCCAGACTGGCTGCAGATGATTTCAGACTCAAGTAAGTATGTCTTAATATTACAAAAATTTACTAATATTATAAGAAAATCATTATTTTGTATTTAAAAATAGTTTTCCTTGTAGAATACTTTCACATAATTCTTAAGCAATATTGTAATAATTATGTGTATTAAGATTTCATGTTAAAAGCTACAGAAGTACATAGCAATACTTTGCATTTGACATCATTAACCACGTAAAAAGCAATATTTAATTGCTGTGATTCCAGGTATGAGAACGAGGTGGCTCTTCGGCAGAGTGTGGAAGCCGACATCAATGGTCTGCGCAGAGTTCTTGATGAGCTGACCTTGACAAGAGCCGATCTGGAGATGCAGATTGAAAGCCTGAATGAAGAACTGGCTTATCTCAAGAAGAACCATGAAGAGGTACTTTCTTTTTCTTTGTGAACGTGTAAGAAGCCAGATGGAATTGTGAAATAGCAAATTATTCCCTTATTTATGCCAGTGGGAATACCCTGGTTTCATTATTTGTTTTGTTTGCTGCTCTTCTGGTGTTTACTAAGTCAAAGAGTGAAAGAAATATGCAAACAACCTTCAGAATCTTGCTGAAAGAGAATTATATCAGATGTATTTCTTTACATATATTTTTGGGAGAAGTATTCTGCCTTTTAGTAACAGAAACTTTTTGTTATTTTCAATCCCTTCAGGAGCTCCAGGGCATCCAAAGCAGTGCATTTGGCCAAGTCAGCGTTGAAATGGATGCTGCTCCAGGAACTGACCTGACCAAGCTTTTGAATGACATGAGAGGACAGTATGAAGTCATTGCAGAGCAAAATCGTAAAGAGGCTGAAGCATGGTTCAATGAAAAAGTAACCACCAGAGATAGCAAATCCAGTTAAATGCATGTCCAAATGAGCTAAAGATTTGGAACAGTAAAATTACGCTGTTCTTCCTTGTCATTTCAGAGCGGGGAGCTGAAAAGGGAAATCTCCACCAACACTGAGCAGCTTCAGTCAGGAAA